ATCGATTTTGGAATTGAACATTGTTTCACACAGTCCTAGTTTGCACATGATGATACCTGACCACTATGTTCGCGCGGAATATTTATAATCTCTCCCCAACCGTGTGGGATATATCCACGTGCAGTAAAAAGGAGCACGATCAATAGATTTATAATGTTATCCATGTAAGTACATCACGTAGAAGGCGAATACCTTTACGTGATGCCTTTACTTTTAACATCGCAGCATTAGTGAGCAAATTTATTGAACGGTACACACATTTGCATTGCATGCATCGTAATTATGCTTTTGGGTAGAAAATGAATAATTTATTTATAACTTTAGCATTATTTAGTAATTAATTTATACCATGTATGTTATTGTGTGCTACAAATGTAGGTATATTATATTGTTTGTGAGTAACATGATATTGTTCGGTGTCATAAATAAATTATGATATAGTAATAGGATTCTATAATGTTTAAATTGTAACACGAAAATGATATAAATATCGTGTGTAAATTTAACTTCAAACAAAACTAAGCAGAATAAGAAAATGATTATTATCTATTTGAGGAAAATAATATACTATTCACTCTCGACAATTCTATATATATTTATAAATATACATGCCATCGGACTCTTAAAAAGTTGTAGAAAAAAGCTGCATTAATTCATCTTTTTCACTTTTGTAATATAGATTTATTTAAATATAAGTTTAAATTTTAAATACATTTTTTATTTTGTTAATAGTACTTACTAATCTATTATATCCAGTTTATAATTATTGGGGCATAAATCCCGCAAATTGTTAAATTGCCATGTCGCAATCATCGAGGCAACAAATCATGGTAGAAACGCCACGTTCCCTATCATGCCAATTAAAAAGCAGTTTATATATATGTGCATTCAAATGCGTCGCCGCAGTTAAATTAAATCTCTGCAAATCGTTACAACGCCGCAGACTAATTTGGTCGATTAAAGCCGTTTAGTACGGCGCTGGACGGTGATATTATTTGATCGACATGATCGTATCTCTCGTCGTCACTCGCTTGATAAAGACGCGATAGACGACTCTCGCATGACAGATGACGTTGGAGCGATGAATAAAACGGCACAGTGTGCGGAGCATGTAACCGTTTTACTGTAGCGCATCGGTAAGCCTATTACCGTACTAAGTAAACAGTGTCACTAAACCGATTGCATTGAGAGCGTTTACTTTCGCACGTTTTAGCCATTAGTCGTTTATCGTGCGCGATATGCGACGGCCGCGTGGTATATCGCTCCGTCGCATGGGGGTTCGAGTATTTTCATTGGACAATATTATTCTAATCGAGTACAGGATCCCAGATGCGATCGCTTCCACGGAGAAGTGTCATCTCGAAAAAAAAAGAACCTGGGATGCCAGCTACTCGTGCGTGATAATGCCGGTCTGCTCCCTCGATGGTCTTTCACGGCAGACACGTGACACGCAATCTAAATCCTACCAATGCTTTTGATAGACTGCGCTTTATCGTACCTTCATTAGTCTCTCTTGATGCGATAGTGCTCTTGATTTAATAACCGTGATGATAGTAGCTTTATTACGAATCATTATTTCGTTAATATTATTATTTAAGTTTTTAACAATTATTCCATGCACACAATTTGCATTAAAATATTGAAACAATGTTACTTTAATGTAGGATATATATGAAATATTTTGAAATATATGTTATACATTATTCTATGATAATCTATATTTATCATCCAATTTAAAAAGTTTTTATTGTGCATTAAATTTTTTAATAAAAAGAAATTATCTTTATTATAATAATACCATCAGAAGATATTTTGCATCAAATAAGTTGACATGACTAGATTTTTTTTCGATATACGAAATTTTACTTTATAAATTCAAAATTTATATAAAGATATTTACAGATTTCTCTTCCTTCTGATCGAATTCGTTCCAATTACTTTGTCTCACATTCAGTCCTCCTCATTTCTGTTTCGATTGATGGAGGCTTACACGATTGCGATATGCAGTCGCCGAGGTGAAAGTGACTTTTACGAGCAAATCATACCCTTTATAGAAGATGTCTTGCGTATGTCTGGCCTCGATCCTAAAATAATAGTTATTACCACGTCTTATTGCATGTCGAATTACCATTGTAATTTCTTTCGTCTAAGTGTACTAAATCGGTAATCACCTGCGTTTTTTGTATAATAGGTAAAATGTAACTTTAAACTTTTTCACTTAAAAATCACAATTCAACAATTCACACGTTGTACAAATAAAACATACTCTGTTCCCAAATTAGAGATTTAAATGGAACGAATCCAAAATGTGTTTCCTTTAATAACTGACTTCCCATGTCATATCCAGAAGAAGTTATTTATGGGGATGTGATCGTAGGGGACGTATTTAGATCTTCTCGCCGATATTTATTATCTGGAGCGCCGCGCGTATAAAGTTAGGTCAACGTGCTCTCATATTTTTTAAAGGTGAGATAAGAACAGCGAATCTGTCATCGAAGTTACACGTAAAACTTCAGAAACTTTCGAAAAATTTATTACTTATATATAACTTGAAATAATAAATTCAATACACGCGAGATTCGCATAATATATTCTATAACGATTCGCTATTAGAATAACGACGTTAAGTTTATTTGCTTAAGCGCTTCTTGATTCTCTGCGAGTGTATTCAGATGGGATCATAACGCGATAAATTCGCGGAAATTAATGTGTGTCTATACATATGTGCGCTTGTATTATACATATACGTGAGTTTGTTACTCGTTTAGTATCGCGCTTTCGAATTATCAGCTTGGTTCACAAACTAACTCGATAAAGTCCTAATTACGTTCCACCGTAACGAGTAGTACACAACTGCACTGGATGAATATCTGGACATCTATCGCGAACTCAGAACACATGTGCATGTCGTTTGATGTATGATGTCATTCATGGAATCCTATCTGTATGACCAGTTGCGCGAAACAAGTGCGAGTGATACCGCAAATACGCGCGCTTGAGAATTTCGTGTTGACACATTTTCTCTCGGTTTTAATTTCTTTGATAAGTTTGGAGATTTATTGACACTATTGATTCTTATTGACGTACCTACTTTATAAAATAGTGCTCCCAGTATTATATTTACTTAATATTTAAAATGCAAGAGTTTCAGAATTCTAAAAAGAAATAGATATTTAAATCCTAATTAATCTAAAGATTTTGATATCTATCTAGTTTAAGAATTTATAAAAAGATTTAATATTAAAATTAAATAATTGTGAGAAATGAAAACCTCCAATTCAGTCGTTGCTAAAGAAAATTTGTTTCAAAGTTTCTAATAGTATAGGTATGTTGTTAAAGGAAAATGAATATATTAGTATTAATATATTCTGTATGCTGCACGAAATATTGTTACGTGATGCGTCAAAAGCTTCCACAAACAGATAATCAAGCTAATCGTTAATCAATGTCAGTCTACGAATTCTGTAGAACAGAAACTCGCGGAAATGCATGCGTTACACAAGTTAATGCGACAGCTACAATACAGCTACAAATTTGCCGAAGTATGTACTCGGTGTGTTTTCGCAGAATAAAACAGCGAAAAAGAGATATCAAATTGTGATAACGTGCGTCTATCACTTGATAGTTCATTAAGTTTCTATTAGAAAATTTGGAAGATGAATATTATACTGTATAGTATATTAATGTAATCTGTATACAAATTTTTAATTATTTAAACCGTATTTTTGACTAATATGCAAATCCGGAAGTCACGATATATCTGCAGGTCAAGTGACATAACATCGATTAATTAACCTTGCAAAGTCAGATAACGAAACGGAGAGCAGGGACAGAGGGAGATGTCGATGACGAAGGGGGGGGGGGGGAAACGTAAAGCATGAGCGAGAAAGGTTTTCTTAACGTGTCTCCGTTCTCAATCCGTCGACTAACTGTTAGGGGTGCCGCCAATTCGAAGGGTAGATCCGCGGTCGGTATTAGGGGAGACCCGATATAAAGGAGGGTTCTGATATAAAGGATTCTTTGGGAACGGGTCTCAAGATTCGATCACAGGGCTTTGTCAGAGTTGGCGATTCGGCGCAACGGCTGCCAGACAGTGGCCGCTTTGGACATTTTCTCAAGCTCCGTTCCATAACGATCCATCAGGAGGATCCTTTGGACGCGTCCTTTGAGAATACGCTCGTGGCTTTGTCTTGACTCATTGTCAGTCAAGCTGACTGATTACGTTGTCGATGTTGAACTTTATCAGATAATAATTGCGACTGACAGAGAGATGTCTTTCCTTATGGACGTCGTGTTTGTTGCCCCGATCCCATTTCGAGATTTCCCTACTGACTTGACTTCTGTTAATCACCTGCAATTTTGAAAATGCACGCGCAAATAATACGCAATCTCACCAACATTATTAATCTGTGCCTAAATTAATTTCTTTAAATTGCCTCTGAATAATATATTACTTTACTTTTTTTAAAAGCAATTTTTAATAATTATATTTATCACCCAAATTTAAACTCATTATGATTTAAACAAATATCAAGAGAATTCGAAAAATGTTTCGTCGATTTCTTTGATAAACAATTATATATTAATATTTATAAATTTAAATTATATATATTTTAATTTTCAATATATTTTTTAATATTTGTTTGCACGAAGATAATAACGAGTTGTTAGATTCTATAATTATACATTCTCTACTTGTTATTGTTAGTTTTTCTTGTTGTTTTTTATTTTTATAATTAATGAGGTATTAAAATATTATATTGGAACAGTAATATTTTTCTTACGTCTCTCTATAATATCTCAAAATTAGATGATTTATGCGATTGAAACTTGCAATTTTTATTTTCCATCTTATTAAAGTTAACGTTAGGCAACCCTACGTTTATCTGTCATGGGCAGTTGACCCTTTATCACACTCGAGGGAGAGTCCTTCGTTAATGCCGTTTGAACTATTGCCCAAATTGTAGGGAATAAATCGTGATTTTTATCGTGATTTACAGAAGCGCGAGAGGTCGCCGGGAAAGAGAATGGATCGGCTTCGACGAAGCTTCCGGGACAGCTTCCGCCGGCGGAAAGACCCTCATGTGCCCGAATCTAGCAAGCCTCACCAGTGGCAAGCGGATGAAAGTGCAGTGCGTTCAGCTACATGCGCTTTTCACGTTAAGGTAAGCAAAAAAATTAGTAATATAAGTATACATATATAAACTGATCATCTCAAACTAAATGTATCAAAATTATTAATTTATTTAAATAAAAAATTTACGATAAATTAAGAACCAATTGGAGGGCGTTATTTAGTCAATGTTTTATGGTTGATATTATTTTAATTATTTCATATTATTTCTCACTTTTCAGTGCCATAAATCATTGATGAAAATTATTTGTTTGCGTAAAATAATTTATATTGCTTGAAATAATCGATTTGTTTTGTTGATTCGATGCTAAGAATGTATAAGTTTAAAGTAATATTTTTATAGTTTATACTAATTTTGTACATTAATGTTATAAATATTAATTCTCTCATGCAAAGACCTCACAAACGGCTATTTTAATTTTTAATAGATGAATAATTTAACTGATCTTTTGATAGTACCTGGGATGTGTGGAGGTCTTCGAATCGAGGGGTATGCAAGTTTGCGAAGAGGCCCTCAAAGTTCTTCGAGTAAGTACTTTATTATATGAAATATTTGTTGAAATTAATGCGACTAATTTTTTGCGGATTGGTTCAAAGCATTAATTTTTATAATTAACTATCTGTTTCTCGCGCATGGTTATACATTCTATTTATCTAGTTTATTTTTTATGCATATATAAGGATAAATAATTCGAGAAGTAACTGAACTACTTTTTCACGAGGTGAAATATTCAAGAAGCTCCGTAGAAAGTTTTGTAAGTCTTTTGCGAAAGGCGTACCACATTCTCCGAGTCTTTCGCCTCGACTATATTTAGCACGGTTCATATATAGAGTTGACATTGACACCAAAGCGATCTGAAAATAAATTGATGTAAAGGTCAGAGGGCAACTCGGACAGCCGAGTTAATTCGTGACTGAATTTTCAGAACTCAAGACGAAGACCGGTGCGGGCGATACTTCATGTATCCGGCGACGGATTGCGTGTCGTCGAGGACGAAACGAAAGGGTTAATTGTCGATCAGACAATTGAGAAGGTGTCGTTCTGCGCGCCGGACAGAAATCACGAGAAGGGATTCAGTTACATTTGCAGGGACGGCACGACGAGGCGGTGGATGTGCCACGGATTTTTAGCATTAAAAGAATCAGTAAGTCAGAAGCCTTTTCAGCCTTTTTGAATAGAAAGTTATCCCCGGTATACAAGGGGTGCTTTACTCTGTCGGTAAGGGGTGAGTTTATTGAAGCATTGGAATTGCAAATGTACGCAGCATCTGATGGTACGGCGCGGCAGTGATGACATAAGAACTCAATATTGTAAAAGCTAAATATGAGATGCGTATTTTAATTTTAATGCATTTCTATTTACCAACGGATCTATTAAGAATATGAGAATTATTATGATATTCCGTGTAATAAGAAATCTCTGTAAAAATTATAAAGTGTCCTATATGTTGTTATATATAATCTATTGAGATTTGCATATATCTACCTGTTTACAGTGTAACGTGCATATTTTTAGTCTTGTTGCTTAAAAATATAAATAACATATTAGTTTTTAAAAGACTCACATGAGTAATATAAGGGCATGTTCTTAACGGATTAATTTTTTAAAGGGAGAGAGATTGAGTCACGCAGTGGGCTGCGCTTTCGCCGCATGCCTGGAGAGGAAGCAACGACGGGACAAAGAATGCGGAGTTACGATGACTTTCGATTCCAAGACTTCCATCTTCACGAGAAGCGGCAGCTTTAGGCAACCGAATCTCGCGGAGCGGTTACAAGAAGCGCGCGATCGTGCAGCAGGTGGGTTGCGCATATTATTATTAACAAATATCCATTTTCATTATTATAATCTACTATTTATCGACACACGATTTAATAAGTGGAGAATTTATGGAAAGCTAAATATCATTTCTAGAAAGTTTTGTTATAAAATTGTGAACCTACCTAGGACGTGTGTATATAGTTATAAGATTAAATTTGTAAATTTGTAAATACATAATAATTATAACTGAGCATACAAGAATTCAACTAACATTTCGAGTGTTTTGTCTATCTCTTTGCAATGGATGAAAATACTGCTTACTAGTAATATCTAATTACACAGGTTTTACTGTACTGTACGAAATATTTATTTTTCAGAAATTCCTCCGGTTAGGCAAGTGTACAATCCCTTTGCGATTGAAAGGCCACACGCTACTTTATCTATGCTGGAGCGGCAAGGTTCCTTCCGTGGTTTCTCGCAGCTAAGTCAAGCATCCCCATTTAAAAGGCAGCTCAGTCTACGAGTCAACGATCTTCCTAGTACCCTCGAACGCACACGTAGTCACAGTCTCGAGCCAACGGATCTGGCGCGAATGCCTTCAGCTCATTCGCACATTGTACCTTCGAAGCCCCCAGGTGAGCGCCCACGGCCCCGAAATATAATTTTCATTTTATTTACAATCTTATTAAATTAACTATTAACAAGTGAGAGAATGAAAGTTACAACATATGATACTCACAAGTACATACGCTGTGATTATATGGTATTAGTTGAAATCGATCTGATTATTAAATAACAATATACTTCTTTGTCTCACAACAGAATTCGAAGGATATGACGAAGGTCATTACTCCTTATTCTGTTAATCCTCACTGTTGCTTGCTCTTCGATGTACCCTTAAACAATGCTCGTTTTCCATACACACGGTTCTCCGTATGATTAAGTTAACAGTCATAAGCCGGTACCACGACACTGCGAGCGTGTAGCTAGAACCTTCGTAATTTTAATCCGCCCTCGTGTATTTGTTTGTGCTTGAAGAAATATTCAACTTACACCGTGTATTCATCGTTCTATATACTCTCACTTTATACTATCATATCACCTCGACATCTATTTAGGCGTCCTGGAGCATGCCTCTTGTAGAATGCGTTCTAGCACCTACATGTCGTAAAAAATTTCAGTTGCCCTAAATATATTGTTAAACGTGATATCTTCTGTTTCTTCGCAGTGAGTCCAATACCAGAAATATTTCCCGGTGATCATGACAGCGTCTCCGCGATGTGTCAGCAGCTTTCTCAAGGGCTTTCTCTGCTCTCGAGCAGCGACGACTTTGGACCAATACCGTCGTCCCAGCCTGCCACCAGCTCCGTCGTCAAACAGCTTTTCACTAGTGCTAACTCTCCTCCAGGTACTTTTCGAAAAAACTGTAGAAGTTACTCATTTTATTCTCTGCAGCATCATAATATCAATAATAATATGATGACGCGTTAAAAAAATTTATATACGCGTCATAAATTTCACAAATCAACTTATTATGTTCTTTCAGTAACGAGTAGCAACTCGTCGGACGAGATGAAACTGCAGAACGGTCCCAATATCAATAACAACGACAACAACGACAAGAACGAAGAGCTCAGTAATCTGAATCATGTCGGGCCCAGTTGGCAAGAGTCCGCATCCCCCGTTCTCGCGTCGAATCATAGGCTCACGCCTCTTCTTAAGGCGAGCAACTTGAGTCCCGTTCTTCCAAGGACGAACGCGCCCACTCCGGTCGTTATGAGCACCCCAGCACCTGTTTCTTCTAGTGTAGGTGCCTTCGGCACACCACCGTCGGCAGCAAGTCCGGCTTTCAGCACGGCTTCTACGTCCTCTTTAGGAAATACGTCGACCGTAAACAGGTCGCCGATCCCAATAAATTCCGTGATAACTTCAAAAACAAGTTCCCCTAGTACCAGCGTAGCGTCCGTTTCCCCGGCGGTACCAATTTCGACTGACGTCGCTCAAGTCTCATCGGCAAAGGGAATCCCGACGGCTTTAGTAAGTTAAATCTCACCATAGTACATAATAAGTAACTTAATTTTAATAAATTTTTTAGTTTTATTAAAGTTATATTAACAAAATTAAATAGGAATCAAATGCGCTACTTTAATATATCACTTTTTATATTGTATTTTTCTGAATTATTTGTCAATCAATATTTTGTTTTTAAATTTCTTATTAAAATTATTTAAAATTTGAGCAATTTTTACACAAATCTTTCGAACGAAAAAATCTTGTTGAAATATAATATATTTCTATAATCTTTGAGAACACATTCATGCTTTGGAAATGTTTTTAATTTATGCGACAAGTATTTAATTCATTCCACTTTCATCTTTTTCATTGCTTCTCATTCTATTTTTCACTGTCGATACAAAAATCAGTTTCTTGCTGCTCATAACATAAATTCCGACGTTAATTCGAGATAATCCTTTCACGAGTTTCTCCATCCAACAGGTGCAACCACTTTCCACGGCAGCTGGTTTGCCAAAACCAGAACAATGGTTGGGTAGCATAACCAGTGCTGTGCCGTCGTCGCAGCAAGTAACCGTTAGTCCTCGGCGAGCGCCTTTTCTTCATACAAGAGCGCATTCGCTCGGCTCGGCTGCGATGAGCCTGACTTCCAGAGGACCTTCTGATCCCTTCGACGTCGAATGGGCGGAAATCGCTTCCAGAAATATGCAGCAGTCGACCACGACGAACCCCTTCATTATGCCGAACGCGACCCAGCCGTTCCAAGTGCAGTTGTAGCGTCAGGAGTTTATCAACAACGTCGCCAAGTATTTCCACTCGAGCACATAGCGGCTACATAGCGCCCGCCCACGCTCCGACATTGCACACGATCGAAAGTATTACACGTGAGCCGCGTGTCCTCGATCCGATCGCAAACACCGTCGAGTTTCCGGATGGATAGTAATGGTATACGACGTACCATCAAAAAGTTCCCGAACTGATGCTGCGAGACGGGAATCAGCGGTAGTAGGGATGCGCCGTTATGTGGAGACCGCGGGTCTCATGAATCAGAATGCTAATGATATGATGCTACAATTATTGAACATTATATTATTCACGTTTTTGTTTGGCAATTCAAATGCTTGTCTACAATTGTGATATAAATGGAAAATTAAAGCAAATTTGTGCGAAGCGAAAATTTCTGAAAATTACCAAGTGCTTCTACAAGTCTTTGGAGCAAGACATTAGGGAAAATATAGATTTATGATTGACATAAATGTTTTAAATGAATCGAGAACAATGAACAATTGGAATGTTTAATACAAAAACAACTCCTGAAAATGTTCAAGAAATCAAAGTCAAACAATCATTTTTCTGCGATCTTTACGAAAGAATTGATCGTTTTAATAATCGACCCCCAATGATTTAATGAAATATTTGGTATTACTTTGGAAGTATTATTTTATAAAATTTGATCTATGAGCCTTTGTTCTAATTTTATACCATTACAGTCGCAAATGGCCACCTAGATTGTCGAATAAAATCGCAAGTAGTACTATATTCAATAATTGCAGTACTATGCCACTTCGCATACTGAGTCTTAAAACTTGCGATCTCTATTTTATGACGTCTTTACCCCGCCTCTGTACTATCGCTAATTTTTACTTTGCAGCATCAGTTTGGAAACTTTTTGATCGCATCTCGTAAGTTTACTACGAGATCCTTCGAGAAGCTGAATCGAAAAAGCGCGATGATTCTTGTCGAATCGGCGCTTAGTAGCAACGACGGTAGCAGCGAACTGAACCAGCACAAAAATATATCAGCGTAAAATATACTTAATAGATAGATAAGTATATACGCGCACAGCCTTAACGACCTCAGTAAAAGTAAAAGTAAAACACGCATATATGCATAAGCAGATGTTCGGGTGACGTGACGGGAGGGGACACAAAGTTTCGCGCACCAATAATAACAGGCTACATCTCGTCAGCCGATTAAGTAGAAGCAATAGATGTCGCGAAATTACGCGTATAAGCGGAGTTCCCGACGGATACGGATAATATCTTACACTTAAATGTCTATCACGCGATATCGTAATTGGATATCCTAATTATCTTGAGTAGAGTTAGGCTCGAACCGAGCGAGTATCGTCGTTCTGCATGAAAAACGAAATTGTACGCACTCAAGATTACGCTGCACCCTTACTGTTATTTTTTTCAAAAAAAGAAAAGAAGAATATATATAGATATATAGGGTAGTTGCCACTTCGTGGTCGTTATCGTGACCTGAATCACGAAGTGAGGTGACCGTACCTTCCACAGGAAGGGGACTTGCATTTCCGGCAAGCCTGTCCGGCTCAGACAAGCATAGACACACGTACATAGGTAGACACACGTTCTACCGAAACGTAGACGTGATTACGCAGAAGGGGAGGCTAACATCCGCGGGAGACTGTGATATTGACGTGAAGTGGCCAGTACTTAAGCGAACAGGGTCGATCGGATTACGAAGTTATCGTGAGGAACTTGCTCAAGAGGTCATCGCGACGCGTGGTAGCACAGAATGAGTGATCGTGAGTTTCGGGTACCACAGACTCTATCGTCTCGTAGCCGGCAAATAAGATACCCCATAAATTATTTAAGATTAGCGGTTAAAGACTAGCGGAGATATGTCTTACACTATCGTTGTCTATTATACATACGATCGTGTCGCATTTATTATGAGGACCGAGGAACGGGATGACAAAGCGCGTAGAAATTCCCTCGCACAAGGATAACGCTCGCGGAATAATCTTTCTCGGAGAGTCTAGACGGTGCTTCCGCTCTTGTAATAATAGTTGCGAAAATCGCTTGTCGGGCCGATCCTCGAGTGTGAGTGCATATCCACAATCAGATCGCGCTCAGCTATGTTACGATCGCAGCGAGCCAAGGAGTTTCCTCAGTCTCATATAGTAATTGATAGTATCCCGTGAGATATCAGTATTGCGCCTCGCAGCAGCTTTCTGTCTTTCAAGTTAACCGCTGCACTTTCGGTTTTTCGAAACGGATCGAGGGTAAACGTCGAGGAAGGCCAAGGGAGATTTTACAAGAGAGATCACTGAGGCGTGTGTGTATGTGCATTGTATATAGATTAGTTATTTAAAACGTAACGTGACAGTATAAGAGAGTGTGGAGAAATTGCAAAGATTGCGTGTATCATTCATTTTAAGCCGACGACTCAGCAATGAGGCGAGAGAAATTCTTCCTGAAGTTCAATCGAAGTGAATAATTGAATTATAACTATGATAGTATTTTATAATTTTATAAACGACACGTGGGAGACGATGATGATACGATTCTGTATCATATAAGAGAGATCTGTAGCTTATTTGTAAATTATAACATTACAAACTGTAAATTATAAATTATAAGTTATGTAAATTATATGTTTGGTGATGGTCCTGATTCTCGTATTATTTTTAAGAGCAATAATTGATTGTCACACGCGCAGTAATTCTAATAAATTAATACGTAAATACATGTAAATATCTCCGCAATACTACAAATTTATTTAAGCACCATTTTGGTCGCGCGATTTTGTTAACGACGTTAAATCAAACGTAATTTATTTAATCGCGCTAAATGTTGTGAGGCATACATCAATATTTTTCCATACATAGAGTTAAAGTATTATTGCTTCGATTGTAATAGATTAAATCGGATAATCGATTAAAAGAGATTATCATTGGCAATTGTGAAACGAACAATATCCGCGATAGAAAAGTCGCCATTGCGAGTTGCTCGGCGAAAATGGACTTGGTTTTTCGAGCCACCTTCCGTCCGTCCCGAAAATCAAAAGGTAACAAGGAGGAACAAAGTTAAGCGAAGGAAGTTAAATAACGAATAATTGTAAAGCAGCACAGGGAGCGATCGCTTAGGTACTTATTGTGGTACTTATGAAAATGTCGTTTAATCAATGTACTTAAATATTAACACACGTAGATCGTTGTTAGCGAGATCGTTGCTAATCGACGCACACTGTCGATATCTTCTTCTTTATTCGTCTTTGTAAACTTTTATCGTTTTTATTTTCTTCGGACTGACATTTATTCTTCCGTTTCTTCACTTAAGTCCCGTGCATTTCCCGCGGAAGTGTGTGAGAAGGAAACGTGTACATAACGCAGCATAATGATTCGTTATAACATTATCATGTTTACGTACTTATTGTTTTCCTTTTACGTTTCTTAGTCGATGTACGCTAACTTACCCTGGTTCATTTGACTAGGATCGAGGAGGAGCGATAGAGCGGCGTCTTGGCTAATCTCAACATGACGTCTGTAATTTATTCGGATGCTAAATCCATTTTTTTTTGTAACTTTTTAATCGGTACGATCAACGGGTGTCGTTCTGTTAGACGTCTTTTTCTTCCCGCTCCCGCGGGGATATCAGCGGGGATTAGCCAAGATGCGTTCCGGTGTCTCGTTTGACTGAAGCAGACGAGTGCATTTAGAGAAGCGGATAACAGTGGCATACACACACATATACATAAACATAAACATATACACGTATTTAGAAAGAGAGACGCCGGGACAGGGATATAGGCGAATAGGATGCACCGCGTGCCAAATTCAAAAGTGCAACCGCGTTGCCTGCCAGTTGGATAGGTACATCGCGCACGCTTACGTGGTTGTGTTGTACATAGTATCGCCGGTCGATTCCTGGATCACATGCGACTTAATGCGTGTATATTTCGTAAAGGTATCCTTGTTCATTTTACATTGTATCTGCCACTGTAAAAATACGGTTTATTATAATATCTGTTGTGATTATGAACATGCCTTTTGTTTCTTTTTTTTTCACAAAATGCGCACTTTTCCAACGAGAGATGGCAGCCCCTTTCTCTCTCTCTCTTTTTCCATTTCCTCAATATACAATATTCATCTTTATATTGATCACACAAAATAGAAAAGAGGTATATATATATCTCTTTTCTTTGTAATTATGCGAGTATTAATATTTCTTTAATGTTTCATGTTCAAGATATTTTTATTTCAAGATATTTTCTTGACGCTGTTTACTAAAACATTGAAATTGAAAAATTGTAAAATACACTTCGTTATTCGTAATTGATAATTACTATTATTATTACTAATAGCAGCATTTAACTATAATACAGTAAATTACAAAGAACCAAACCAATAGTCTACATATTTTAAGTATAGTTTTTAATAGACAATTATGTAAATCACTGTATAACAGCATTTTCTATGTTCAAAGAATTTTTTTTTATGCTAATATACAAAATAAATTATTCAGATATTAATTAATCGCAGTATGCAATATTTCGCCAAATTCACGGTAATGCAAGGGCACAAGCTGTAACATAAACTGACATTGACATTTGATATTTGTTCAATCAAAATTAATATTTGTTCTCGAAAAATTACATAATTGGAATGTAGAAGAGTATCATTACGAATAAAACTATAACATGTCGAGTCTTGAGGAGGCTTTCGCAAAATTTCCACCCAGTATTCCTTCGCGATGTTCTCCAAAATTATCCCGTATTAATTGTGCATGTCCGAAATATATATCTGACATATCATCGCATCCCTATGGATCTGCCGTACAATTCCAGCTTACACATACTTGTGACAGGTATGTTACTCAAAATGATTCTTATACATTTTATATTAAGCAAGCACACCAATAGCAGCATTACATTTTCAAAAACTTGCTTTATATAATGTTTGAAAGTAGAATAAGATTATGCAGTTAAAATTATGAAAGATTAAAAAAAATTATAAAGACTTTGATATTTATGTATCTTTTATAGAATCTCTTATTCGCCCCGTTACTTTCCTGCCATTCCACGCTGTCGTTCTCCTGAAAAATCGTTAGGAAAAGTAACTTGTTGTTGTCTCAAATGGTTCGACTGTACTGGGAAACCAGTGTTAAAATGTAAAAATAATTATACGTAGCTTCATCAATTAATAATTATATCAGAGGTGAGAAAATCATTATTACCTAGAAAAGATCGAAAAAAAAAAAACGATATATAAAATGTTTTAATATAATCAGAAACTTTAGAGTATAAAAATAATCTATAATCCATAAAATCCTAAAAAGTTATTATAAGATCATACTTAAGAAAAAGATTATTATGATACACAGAGTATACTACGTGAAGAAATACATCAATTTTCTTAAACAAAAGATTGTTAAGTAATCGATTAGACAGAAATATTAAATATTTAGAAATTATGATGAAATGTAATATCTAAATTTTTCAAGTAAAAAAGAAGAATGTCTTTCTGTACCAGTCACAAAGAGAAAAAACGGCCAAATTCGTTGCCTCCACCGTGTTATCACCGCAGACCAATGCCATTTTATTGTCCAAGCAATGGCTGTTTACCTCCTGAACCGATACTTCATAGACGTTGTCGTTGCCCACCTTCATATCCACCATTGGTATAAAAACAGTATTAATCTTTCATGCGGTTGTCTCGAATTTAAATATTTATGCAGAGAAATATTGAATTAAAAAATGTGTTAATATAAAGCAAAAGAAGTAAAATTGACGCAGATAATTTTCATTTTATAATTATAATGACAATATATCCTTCCAATTTATCTTGCATTTATTTGAAGAAAAATATGCATTATATAGATACCTAGAGATATTATAAAGGTATTTTTGCTTTGCAATATCAGGATCTATTTTTATAGACATGTAGGCCGAGACCAGAGCCCTCGCCACTACCACCTACTATATGCATTGCTGGACCCTGCTCACAACCATCAGCTTCAGAATCATATTGCCGCCCGTCAGCACCAAAAATATTGCCACCATCCTCCTGTGTTCGATTTTGCATTCGATACACGAACGAAGGATCAAGTTACTACCCTTGCTACCAGTCCAATTTACCAAAATGTCCTAGCAGTATCTGTTAGGATTATTATCTAACAGCACTTGATAACACAGAATCGAGAGAGTCAATGTCTTAAGTTTAATTACTTATGAGAATAAAACGATCTGGCATCCATAGATTTATATTATAGCTTTTTTCGATTATTAAGACTTTCTTAATTATATTATAGTAACGAACTATTAAATATCTTTAGAATAAAAAAGTTCTTTATTTAATGTTTTAGATTTTATTTATAATAAAAATATAAAATTACCAAATAATTTATAGAAAAATATAATATTTAGAATTTAGTTCTGATGGGAATTGTTCGGAGAT